TACCAAAATAAAACCGGAGGTGTCGAGTAAATTTAGCAATACAGCTGTCTGGAGTAGTGCGTACCCTCCCCCCGCACTCCGTCCTCCCATCAGCCTACGCATATCCGGAATTAATAACTTCTTCCGCCTCCGTCCAGCTTAATTGGGAAAGAATAACTTTATAATTAAAACACTTCCTGCTGTATCAATTTGTATAAGCTTTGTACCGCACGCGATCGGCCAGAAATCAATCTCGACTTTGCAATTCAAAGTGTCCAGTGGGATAATATGAGAGTCTTGCCTTTTCTTCGACCTACGTCGTGTTTGGCTTTCATATATTTAGATATTGTACATAACTGTGAGAAGTAATCCTTGTTATCTCTTAACCTAGTCCAAGTCCAAAATCGTTAACCGCCTAAAATGTTGACACTGATATTGCATTTTTAGGGAACAGGTTATTGTACTTCGAATTGTTTTCATAAAACGTTCGGTCCGCGAAACCTGATCGCGACCGATGTCAGCATCGACATATTAGAATGCTGAATCATTTTTATCTGTCAGTCTGTCTTTGGACAAACAAAACCATCAGTCTCGAATCTCGCACAAACGTGTACGGTGTCAGCGTCATTTGAATTGAGGATGTGGAGTCGTCGAAACCATGTTGAATCTTGAAGGCATGTTGTCGCTGACACACTACGCCAGCAGTTTAAATTGAGGAATAAAAAACGATGATACATTGTTGAAGTTTCCAAAATAATTATGTTTTTAATGGAATAATCTAAATACAATATCTCGAAAGTACAATGTACGATACATAGCTAGTGTAGCTAATTTGCCAAAACCTCGGCTGTTTTCCAAGATATCCAAGCTTCAGTATGAAGGGTGCACTCGTCAACCTGTGGATGTCTAGGCGCCAATGCTAATACATAGTGAGAGGTGAAGCCCCAAACCTGCTGTCTGGGTCACCCCCGTCTCCAGGCCGATGCCCTTCCCAACTGGCGTTGTTTGGTAAACAAACCTTGTTTACGTTTTTAACTACTGTACCCTCCAGAAGTTCCAGTAGTGAAATGCAAAGCACTGTGTTGCCATGCTCCCAAAAGTATCCTAATGATGAATGATACTCAACATACGATATTATATGATAGGTCACTAATTATTTAATCAGTGCTTGCATACCATATTACTCGGTCACACCCCACGGCCAGATAGATCTAGCTAATTTTTACCATTACTCGGGGACTGATAACAATTTAAGGTCAAGTGTAGCACAATTTAGTTAAAATGCTGGATATTTTCTCAAACGCTTTGTCGGGATGTGAAACGTTTTTGTATTGAAACGTAACTCCCACTACTATAAACTGATACATTAACAGTGGCGCAGTAAGTTTTCGGACCTTCGCAGATCCAACAGAATGTTTTTGATCAATTTTAAAATCGGATCAGCTGTTTAACTTTAGGTTTTACAATGTTAATTGCATTGGGCTGATTTCATCACCAGTGCTGTGTTCTAATCATGGCATCCGCCAAGAAAGAAATCAAATTAGCTGAATTACATTCCATTTTGATTCAACGGAACATTACGGAAGCATACAGTACAGAGTGGCTTTTTGTTTAAAGGTTTAAAGGATATCTCCACGATATCGGAAGCAGACAGTACAGAGTGGATTGTTGCCATTTTGATATCTCCAGGTCCGGAGACTCCAGACTGTCCGTGACCTTCGGTTTCTCCAGCCTGGCGTTGTTGTGGGTCAGGCGAACGCGAGAGTGCACGCCGCTCACATTCCCAGCCGACATTGACCTCAGCCTCCTTCCTAGCCACTTCCCAGCCGTTCCTTATCGGCTAGCTCCGTGGTTTCTTTCAGCAAATCCGCGCTGGATCGGTATTCGGCGTCATTCATCAGGATAGTGGACAGAGAATCGTTTTTAACATGGAGATTGTGAATAGTGCAGTAATATTGGTGATGTTTTGATATAACATTTTGTTGTATAGTGTTAGGCTTCGTGTCTGAAGTTCGCTGGTTCGATTCCAACACAGCTCGACATTCTGATAATAACATGCCCAGGGGTTGGACCGTTCCCTTAAAAAAATTAAATAATCGTCTACTCAGTTGCGTAAAGGAAAGGGATTAGGGCCAATACAGTTTAAGTTCATCGTATCCTCGCCTAAGAAATACGGTATTTATTTTTTAATGGGGATTGACAGGATTTGAATCCAAACCCTACACGACTTTAATCCCAGGCCCTAAAGCCCCCCATACACGGGCGAGCATGTTCGCGAGCATGTTGGCGAACATGTTCGCGAACATGCTCGGCGTTGGCAACAGACGGACGAGCATGCTCGCGAACATGCTTGGCGTTTCCAAGAGACGGACGAGCATGTTCGCGAACATGCTCGTCGCTCGGTAGCGGTTCCTAGGCCTATTCTTGCTTCCCTTGTGCTCTGTGACAGTCAAGTTGTGTGTAGGCCTATTTAGCCTACTCCTGCTTTTTTGCTGCAATTACAGCATTTAGTTTTTTTTTTCTTTTTGCAACATACGCATTATTTCTTAGACATAAATCAGGGTCGATTTATTTTTAGCCGATTTTGTAATCGGCCGATCTAAAAATCGACCGTTTGTGCCAGGCCTTAAGTTATCGGATTAAATTCATCCGTCATGGTTTGAAAATAATGTTGATTAAAATTCCATAGTTGTGCAATAACATTTCTCGTAGTTTTGCTTATTCTAGCCTTTCTTATAATTATTTAATTGTGAAAAATTACTACAGAATTGATTGTACACATTTGTGTAATAATATACATATTGTAATTGTTGAACCCTCTACTTTGGAAACTCATTTAAATTTGTATTTATTGCGTTACAAACACAAATAAATATTTATTTAGCTTCTGTAAACATTGATTCTAAATCTATTACTGTAACTAGAATACATTAGAGTATCAACACCATGATGATTACAAGTGCAATCTGTCTATTGCGGCTACTTTGTAATGGCGACAACGAAGTAATCGTTTGGAATCGGAACGGTTACTTGTGATGAGTCCACGAGTGTAACTGGAATCATAGTAGCGGCTACATCGATGGAATCATTTAGCCTATCTCTACCCAAGTTGGAGCGACGAACATGCTATCGATCATATTGGTCGTCCCCACAGACAGGCGAGCATGTTCGTGTTCGGGCTCGCCAAGTCCGACGAGCCGAGCCCAACATGCTCGCCGCGACGGATCCCACACACGGGCGAGCATGTTCGTCGCCAACACCGTCACGAGCATGCTCGCGAACATGCTCGCCCGTGTGTGGGGGGCTTAACCCATACACCATTCTTTTCCACACTTTTGTAAAATCTTGTTTTAAAACATACTCTGAGGTTGTAAAATGGTGTAAGTACTTTTACCGAAGTATTTGTGTGAAATACGCGTCAATTACGTCTTCTGATGTTTCAAAATTGGGATGGTTGTAAAATACGCCTCTTGGCGGAATGCGGTCAAAAAGGTAGTAACGGGGATGAGTCATGTCAGAAGTAGGGAAATGATGCGGGACACGAGGATATCCTTATTAAAGCGTCCTGCCGCCCCTCTAAACCCGCCGTGATTTTTGTCGGTTTTAAACTGTATTAATTTTGCACAGCGATAATTAAGTGCTATCAATCGGCTCTTTTCAATGAGACTTGAGAATCAACGATGAAAGAAATTGTGTTTCCGGTATAAATACCATTGTACAATATTTACATTATGTACAAACGGAAGTTTTGTCAGTCGTTGAACAAAGTAGATATTCGGCTTTACAATATGCAATTCAATAGTGGGTTTTTTAGGTAGTTAACTGGTAACAGAAACAGACAAGCACATGATAAGAAAATTGTAATAACCCTGCGGTATGCTAAATGCATTAACATTTTGACAAATTGTGCTAAAAATTCATAGCACTTCTCTTTCAGTAAAATAACTGTAAGTCATTACGTAATGTACAAAGTAAATCAAAGATAATTACACATTTAAGAACACATTTAAGAAAAAGATTCCAATTAAGTGCCCCATTCTATTTGTTTAACAAGTTTTATTATACTAAAGCTATTTGAGTTGTAGTAGTAGTGTTGTGTAGTTGTAGTAGATAGTGGCAGGCAGCACATCAATGACGGCTGGATACGTTATGAAAGGGTCCATTGAATCTGCTGACTCACCTGATACGCCGCCTCTCGTTTCCGGCTCCATTCATACAGGGAAAGCGCGTGTAGTTGACCGTTATTTACCTTCTATGTGCAGTCTGTTCTTGTATTTGACATATTTATCCTCGGTACGTTGGCGGTACGGATCGTGGTGTAGGCCTAATTTATGTGAATGTGGTAGCCGTGTAGCAAAGCTCCTTCACCTAGATTGCACTGCGTGGTTGCTTGTATTATCAGTTTACTCCGTACAAGCCTCGTTTGATAAAGGTAGTGCTGAGTGGTCAATAAAAAGAGGAAAATCATTTGCCTTTGTATCTACTCCATGGCCATGTTGGTACAGACTCTCAATCCGTATGTGTGTTTCTACAGAATAAACTAAGTACATGCCGGAACCCTACAATGCCTTACGTTTACTCTTGTTGAGAAAGTGATTTCTTCTAATATTTATGTATCCTCGTAGATTTCAAAAGCCTTATAACGTTGAGTGTTTGAATCTCCAGCACAGAAAAGAAAGGTACGGATGAAACTTTCAAGGGTACGTAAGTGGTGTCTAGCACTAGTCGATGGTGTCTAGGGCAATGTTCAAGATTGTGGATCGCCACTAATTTGATGTTCTCCCTTGAACAGATCTCCCTTTTCCACTTAAAATCTTCCCAGTTCATATCCCCTCTCAATATCTACGGAACGCTCTCAAACTGTGCCAAAATTCAAACAAACTGGTTTACCCGTGGGTAACCTATTTTGGGCAACACTTGAGGACTCTCATTAAGATATTTTAAGGATTGCTTGTCTTTCACTACAAAGACATTGCTTTGTAACTCCCAATCGCAATGATTGTTGGTGATGTGTGTTGCAGCCTTGGGGATCGGCCGGACTCGCCTGGGCTTCGCCACCACGGCGCCATGGAGCAGGAGAAGAGGATCCGCCGGGAGATCGCCAACAGCAACGAGCGGCGTCGGATGCAAAGCATCAACGCAGGCTTCCAAAGCCTGAGGACTCTGTTGCCGCATCACGAGGGCGAGAAACTTAGCAAGGTCAGTAGAAGATGTACTTTGGCATTGTAGAATTAGAATGATCATTGCAGACTTCTGCCGGAGATCTGTTTGCAAGTAGATTCTTTAGCTTTAATTGGACACACGTCTTCTTTTTCCTACCTGCAACACCAAACCACGATTGACTTCCTTTTCCAAGGGTCTTCTTCACCTTCGCCCTTGAAGAAGACAGAGTAAAGAAGAGAATTGGGCAAAGAAGATAGGATTTGGCCAAAGGATTGGCAAAGGCTCTAAGAAGAAGACCGCGGGTAATTTCTAAATAAATCCAACAATTGTGATTTTCTATTTTGTCTATCAACATTTTCAGAATTTCATGCCGCTCTCAAAGAGCAAGCTCTTTTCAAGATCAGGTTTGCTGATGGTTTTTGTTATTAAGAGCTTTGTTGCGTGTCTTTATTATGTACCCCAATTCAAAGCAAGGTCAGTTGATTGTGAAATACTATTTTTGATATTCAGTGTACTTATGAGACCCGAAGAATATGCCATGTTCACTTCACGATCCCTGCAGAAAGACGTGAGGCGTTACCGAGAGGTTCTTCTTATTGACGACCTACTGCTGAGTAAAATCGTGAGTAACGCGAAGCTGCGGGTATAGCCGTTTAGCGATGCTTTATGACACCCGAGCGCAGTTTTTGCCCTCGTCGTCGCGTGCCCGGCCTGACAGGATGTAGAGCGTGGTAGCTGGCTGGCTGGGTCTTACCTTCTAATTGTTCTCACCAATTATCCACCTCTTTATTGGCCATTAATTAAGCATCACTCGGGCTAATGAGAGACTAGTCGTTTCCTGTCTGGTTTTCCACGACGTGGCTCGCTTTGTGATATGGAACGTCGAGGACTTGCTTCTTTTACCAGGAACTTCGCTATCACATGCAGACTAGGTTTTAGTTTGCCAGAATTTGTACGCAAGTCTCTGCTACCAATGATTAGAATTGTCCAAGGTTAAAGATTTCGTCAAGGATTAGGCTCAGAACTTTCCCAACTTTCAAGAGGGGCTATCAAAATTACTTGAGCAAAGGCATAATTAATTTTTAAGTGCGGTTTTATTCAATTTGTCCTGTTTTAAAATTACGAATTCATAATGTGTAATGAGTTATCGAAAACTGTTAGGGGCTTGCAAAAAAAATCATACAAAGTTTTCTACCCAATGATGATATTCTTCTTCCTGATTGAGCTACTCCTTACTTTGACGTAAAATAAATGCTTATAATTTCTAAAAGAACAAACGAACTACATTAACAAACTCCCACCGTGTTTGTTTCGCCATTTGTCCCCATCTTAAATAATTGATAATTGATAATAATTGATAATTGATAATTTCAGCAATAAGTAATCAACTCTATTAAAAATATTCAATTGTTTCTTCTGAGCAAACTATTATTGTTGTTTGAGTCTATTAATGTACTATAAACAACATGCAGCGCTCAGGGAAGGGTGGAATAGAACGAGAAAACAGCTGACCTAGACTGTAGACCAGACAAACAGCTGATGTAAACATCTGTTATTGTAAACAACTTGGCCGCGCCCGCCCGCCATCACGATTCCTCAATTCCCCAACGGTCTTCTGTAAATAACTTTTGTCACGGCATCTTCGTAACCCGAGGTGCTGTACGTTGGAAACTCTACCTCCACGAAGCTATGTGTTGCTAGAGGTAACGTTGTTGTGGATTTCGCTTTGTTTTTCTCTTTTGTTTTTAATTTATCCTTTGATATAACTATTGACACATGTCCATTACTAAGGGATTTCGATCATTCGTTAAGCTTGAATGAACTAGCCGGAGAGCCGTTGGCTGTATTACATCATATCCAGCATTATTGTTTACCAACAAGTTCTAGCATCGGCCCAAGTCAGTTTCTTTTGTTTTACCCGTCACTGGATCCGTTGAACGACAGGTTCCCGTCGCGATGTTTTGTTTTCTCCGTCGCCGTATCCGGTTTCCTGTCTCTTGTCCACATCCGGTCGAGGCATCACTAGCGCTGGCACGTGCGACGGCCGATGGACGTACACTGAACCTCGTTATTGCTACTTGAACCTACATGACTAGCCTACTTGAGTAAGCTGTCCACTGTCCTACTCTCAAACTTGTAGCGTTGGAAGCGAGTATGGACGAAGGGTTGATCGTCTGTTCGGAGTAGTTTCATTAAATTTGACGAATGGAGGCTTTCGTGCTCGTCCATGAACGTAAATGGAGGTGCTTATCAACTGCGGTTGGCCAATCGAAAAGAGCTTGACTCAACCTATGTTGAAAATAATGTCCATACACAAAGCTGTTCCCGCTGTATAGTAATGTAACTAACAGAAAACATTCTCATAAGGGAATACAAAAAAATCCATTGTATTTCCGAAGAAGAGCGACAATAAAATTGGTTTTGATACGACAGTTCCCAACATTTTTGCAAACATTTGAGCTGTTTTGTTCAGAGATCACACAAGAGAGAGAATTGGTTAGATTTTAAGGAATAGTCTCAGTCCACTTGACAAAAGTACAGTATACACACATAGTGTTTATAGTGTGTACGAAGGACAAAAGTATTGTTTAGGAAATGCGCCTTTTTGATTTGTTGAGAATGGGTGTGTGTGTTTTTGGACAAAGTCCTGTTATTGGGAAGAGTTATCTAGAGTATTGAGAAGGCCCTTGGCTAGAATTTTTTTCCTGTTTGTTGGTTGTAGCAACATTTTAGGTTTTAGGTTTTTGGCTTTGTCATACGTTTTTTACAAAGCTATATTGCTGCCAAACTGATGTTTTTTAGGAATCGTAATTGTGGTGTACATCGACGCAGAACATTTTGCCCCTATATATCTGCCTAGTTATGTTTATGTACTACACTTTAGTCTTGGATTACTATTGTCACACCACGGTGGTCCTGTTAACGAGCCATTGTAACCGTCAATTAGACATCCATTGTAGACTGACAGCCGCTACACTTGACGTAAACAACAGTTTGAGTCAAATTCGTAATGACCCATTCAGTGGAAATTGTCTACATGGAGGGCCTCTTGATGAAGTTAACGTCAATATTTTAACCCAACGTTTGAGTGGCAGAGTACAAAACGGTCGATGAACAAGCTGCCGTCCCTGGTGTAATTTGTTACGACAGGTGGTTTAACATGTGTTCGCGTCAGTTGCTTCTGCCTTCTGCCCTCAATTTACAGTCCTCTTTAAAACTTTTTTCAGCCTCTGTTTTATAACTGAAAAGTTTTTGAACATTTCTTCATTTGTTTACACACCGTGTAGATGTTGTGACAAATATTTTCTCAACGAAAAATCCGTATAATTTGGAAGGAGAAAAGCAGGGAATTCTTACAAGAGTCGATGGAAGTTTTTCGTGTGTCACATGATGCTGCGAAGGACCTTGGCCCGTCGCTCGGTTGTCGTGTTGCTAAATATATAGCGCGTGTGTATATGGGTCAGTCTGTACGTGCGGCGGCTCACGCTACCGATTCTACCTGTGCTCAAAATAATACTTATTTAACCCCCTGAATTGGGTCAGTCGGTTATATTTTTAATGTGTAAATTGTAGATTTTTATTACTCTGTTATTTTGTAGGCCTATTGGATTTTTGTTGATTATTTCTTAGGGGTTTACAGTGTGTGAATAAGTTCAGTAATAGATTATATTAATCGAGAGAAATTTATAAAAATGAATATGTCAAATAAATAGTGTTTTGGTTACCCCAAAAAGCGATGTAGTAAATACAATCACTTTTTACGGACTGATTTAATTTTGCTTTATCCCCCTTAAAACTTTGTTTTACAGCGTGCTACGAAAGAAAAATATACTTTTGGTTAAAGTCCTTGACACCTGCCAAACTCCAATGGTAGTAATTTGGTATGTAACAGATTATGACGCTACCATTTGGTTCGAAACCCACCCAAGTCCTAAGTCCACGTATTTATCAATTACATTTCTCCCTTGTGATAAGAACTATTTGGTATTGGAGATATTTTCACGAAAACTAATCAATGATTTTAATTGTACGTGTGTTGGCTTCATTTTACCGAGGGTGGACGGTGGAGTTGGGGGTGTGTAGAGTGTAGGGGTAGGAAGTGCGTGCAGTTGCATCACCGGTGCATGTGCAAGTGCATAGCACCACCCGACACGCGGTGTACAGTGTCCCAATGTGTCAATTCTAGGGTTTCCTGTGCGCCGAGGCGAGCCGGTGTCCGATGTCAATGGTAGGGTTTCGCGACCCCCCCCCCCTCTCCCCCTGTACCATGTACCACGTGACGTCTGGCGGCCTTCTCTCTCCCCGCGGAAGGAAGCGGTCGCTCTTTGTTGCGAGCTGCTCCCGCCAAATTTTCGCGCGCTTTGTGATCATGCGCGGTGCTCGGTGGCATTGAGTCTGCGCGGCTGGCCTTTTCGGGGCCGTCCTTGATGCGCTTTTTGTTGCTCCTGAGAGGTTTTGGAGTAGTTCTTTGTTCGATGCGTTTAATGTCGATCTGGATTATTTATTAATCCGGAAAGATTTACCGTATATTGTAGGAAATGACAGTTTTGCGTTTAGATTTTAGTTTAGTTTAGTTGTTTGGATTTAGTTTAGTTTTTAGTGTTATTGAAAGTTTAAAATTACGATTCTGCAAAGTACATGTATTTTGGCCTGTTCGTGTTGTCATTTTCTTTTTGATTCTTAATTTGTACAGTTAATAATTTGTCTTAAATTCCTCAAAACCCTACTAATTTACGCAGATTTACTTCAACTAGATACTCGTACATTTATCCATTAGTAGATCATCAATCTCAATTTACTCTGTACAAACAGTGTACGCTATGCAAATTTTATTTTTCCCACCTGTGTTGTCTATATTATATTTATCATGTCCTTTCTTTACATCCTACCTAGGACATCAAACTCTGGTCCGGAACCTTTTTTACTTTGCTTCAGGATAGTTTTAGAACGTCGCTGCTTATCAAAGAGCTTAAAGCCACTGGTGATTGACGGGATTTGAACCCGGGACCTCGTGGACCGATTTCCTGCGCTCTACC